TATGTGGAATGTGTATGCAAATGTAACATCTATTATAGGACAGAAGTAGTAAATCTATCTCTGTCCCATAATAATTTTTAATTTAATATATGAAATGTGGATGCACATGTAACAGCCATCATGGGACAGATGTACTAAATATTGCTGTCCCATAATAATTGTTTCATTTAATATATGGAATGTGTATGCAAATGTAACAACTATTATGGGACAGATGTACTAAATATATTGCTTTCCCATAATAATTGTTTCATTTAATGTATGGTATATGGATGCAAATATAACAACAATTATGGGACAGACAAAGTAAATATATCACAGTTGCATAGTAATTGCTTCAACTAATATATGAAATGTGTATGCAAATGTAACAACAATTATGGGACATATGTAGTAAATATAAATCTGTCCCATAATAAATGTTTCATTTAATATACATAGTGTGTATGCAAATATAACAAATATTATGTGAGGGATCTAGTAAATTTATAACTGTCCCATAATAATTGCTTCATTTAATATGTGGAATGTATATGTAAATGTAACATCTATTATAGGACAGAGATAGAAAAACTATATCTGTCCCATAATAATTTTTAATTTAATATATGAGATGTGGATGCAAATGTAGCAACTATTATGGGACAGATGTAAATATAAATCTGTCCCATAATAATTGTTTCATTTAATATATGGAATTTGTATCAAATGTAACAACTATTCTGGGACAGAGATATTAAAATTTTTGTAACACCATATCCGTTGATGTGTGTGATCTGTACTTGAAATAAAACTTAAGTATGTTTTGATTTATAAACCTGTGTAGTTGCCCCCTTTTTTAACATATTTCTAACTTGATGAAGAGGAGAACATAGTTTCTAGATATCTTATATATATATATATATATATATATATATATATATATATATATATATATTACAATGTTATATTGCTTATCAATGAGATGAATTGTTAAGATGAAATTTGTTGGATCTGTCATAATAGTGGTGATTAATTTACACATGTGTTTTTATATATATATATATATATATATATGATATTGATGTATGTTTGGGCAGCAACCTTCCTTTTAAACATCTTTCATTAAATATGACGGGGGTGCAAGGAAAATTTGATTAATTTTTTATTTAGTTTTTCCAGCGTTCTTACATTTTTTTCATTTTTTTTTCATTTTTTTCATTTGCTGAGAGTGAGGGAGTGTGAAATTTTCCATGCCATCCTTTGTCCTATGCACTTTCAGCCACTTCCTCAGCCATTTTCAATGGAGTGTTGTGTTGGTGTTGTTAATTACTCTTCATGTTTTTACCACCAAAACAGCTCCCTCCTTGAAAATGGCTGAGGAAGTGGCTGAAAGTGCATAGGACAAAGGACAGCATGGACAATTTTTGCACTCCCACACTCTCAGCAAATGAAAAAATGTAAGAATGCTGGAAAAACTAAATAAAAAATAGAAACTACCTGCCTATATATATATATATATATAAGAAACTACTAGGATATATATATATATATATATATATATATATATATATATATATAAGAAAACTACCTATATACATATATATATATGAAACTACCTATATATATATATATATATATATATAAGAAACTACTAGAATATATATATATATATATATATATATATATATATAAGAAACTACGAGGAATATCTATATATATATATATATATATAAGAAACTACGAGGAATATCTATATATATATATATATATATATATATATATATATATATATATATATATAAGAAACTACCTGCCTATATATATATATATATATATATATATATATAAAAACTACTAGGAATATATATATATATATATATATATATATATATATATATATATATATATATATATATATATATATATATATATATATATTCCTTTTTACACTTATCCAGAATGACTATAAGCCAAATAGAGCTTTCTTACAGCTACTCTGTCTAGGTGAGTAATTCACTTATAGGAAAGTGATTTCCTATTGTTCACTCATCGTGACATGCCACTGACGAGATGTTATTATGTTACAATATTTGGCGATTGGATAATGAACGGAAAGAATTGGATTCATGCCTTTCCTAAGAGTATGAATGATTTTGAAAGAACATATAATGGCCTACACCAATAATCAAAATGTTTACCAAGCTTTTCTCTTTCGACCGACTGAATGGGAAGAATATATGTTTTCAGGTGTACTCGATTACGTGGAAAAATGTGTCCACATGGGACAAACTGTGAAAACATACGGATGTACAAGTAACAACTCTATCTGAAGAAGCAGGCGTTTTGCCTTGAATTTCTGGTAAAATTGTACACGCATGACTAAACAGATAAAAAAAAAAAAGAACATAAAATCTGTACACTGATGTAGAAGTTCGTATAGTGAAATCTATTTAATTTAGTGACCTGTCTCTGCACTTGCTTCTCTATAATATACAACTGCTGAAAAAGTGTACACTTTTGAATCTAACTGCATGCATGATGTAAAAGCATGGTATGTAATCAATATATATAGCAGCAAATAAATTGTAATATGTGTGAACTGTCGACAGACACGTGGCTGAAATAGTTGCGCATTTCCTCATCGATGTAAGTAGTCGGGGTTCAAGCCAAAATAAAAAAAGAGAGAATTTCTAATGGTATCTTCTATAATAAGCATGTTGATTTTTTTAATGACTTTTCCTACTTCCTCTCCATTTCTCTATTTCCATACCATTTAGCTGTGTATTATAGTAAGCTTCTTCTTGTATGTACCATGTTCCTTCGGATATTGGCAATAATGGCTTATCACTAATTTCAGTCTTTTTTAGCTACAAATCAGATATTCAACTAGCAAACCATCTTGCTAAAGTAATGATTTTGATTAATTGATTTGTTTTATGGCTTATCGAACTTTTGAAGGTTATTCAAGGCCAGAAAATATTTTTAGATTGTAAGAATTTTTTGGAGATAATAATGATATAAATCTTATTAATTAACCCATAAATGTGGGGAGAAAGGGAGGTTTATGCCTTTCCAAGTGCATAACTGAATATAAAGAACCCAACTGGAATTAGAACTCGGCTCTCCAATTTCCAATTCCGACCCCTTATGCATTACACCCCATGCACATCCAAGCTTACAGCAACTGGAATTCCCAAAAGGTCACCCATACTGACCAGGCTCGACGATGATATTGCGAGAAATGATGTTGCAATGTGATATGTTCGTAAGCCGACGAGTTTTAGCGTCACTAACCGTGGCCTTGTTCCAGACTTATCTAAGATTGATAAAATGTACACACAGACATGCAGTTACTGTGTATATTATTAATATATTATAAAGGGTTGAATTTTAACAGGAATAGGGTAAACGAAGATTGTATTTCGCCAACAAAATTTAAGAACATTTAGAAAATCGGTGTTTGAATTTTTTCTTTCTTATATTTTTGAATTTTTTTTTTTATAACACTGACAATTGGTTCGGGTGAGAGATCTGCAGACTTCCACTCACCCAAACAAAAACTAAAAACCAACAATCACGATGAAAGGAAAGAGACAAATATGTTTCTCAGTGCGTTACACTGAAATGTTTCAAGTCAGCCTGTCCGCGAGTGTGAACAAATACGCTGCTTTACACGTTTTTCTTGTTGAAATGTATTACGAGGAGGTGCTGAAAAGTTATTGATCTGGCACACTTCCTAAAATGTGACCAAATGGCAAAACATAGGTGTATTGAACAATAAAAATATTAAATTAAAATCTTCAGACACACTGGGTTGTATTAATATTCTTTCGTTTTTTTTATTATTCCATTTAGATTCCTCGACCAGTTTCGGCCAACATCAGGAGAGAAAAAAAATCTGCTTGCTGGTAGCAGAGAACTATAGCTTCTGATTTTTTGTTTGGGAAGTTAGGCTTCTTGGTTAGGCCGAGAACTTTTCAGCACACATTCGTAAGTCCAATTTTTTGTCCGTGAAGTTGAAGACAAACTGAAATATTTTAATGAAAATGTTTAAGTGGTGAACTAAAAAGAGAGAGGGGGGGGACAAGAAAGAGAAGGAAAAGAAGACATAAAGAGGAAAACGAAGAGAGAGAGAGAGAGAGAAGAAAAAAGACAGAGAGGGACAGGAAGAGAGCGAAAAGAGAGACGGAAAAAAGACAGATAGAAAAAAGAGAGACGGAAAAGACAGTGAAGGAAATAAGAGGGAGAAAAGTCAGCAAAGAAAGGGAGAAAGAATACAGATAGGATGAGAGAGAGAGAGAATAACTGAGTATGAGGTAACGTGTCCAGGGTGGTCCGAAAGTCATGTCACCCCTACCTCTCTTCCAAACAGTAGCCATCTGAAGTAGAAAAATAAAATTATATTATGTAGGTTGGTGACAAGACTTTCGGACCACCCTGCATGTCTGTACACTACACCCACGTGTGTGTGAAAAAGGAAAATACATGGGTGACAGAGTAGTTATACGAACCGTTTATTTATGACTACCTCGCGCACCTTCACGTGTAGTGTGCAGTGTGCAATGTAGTATTTCTCATTTAGCAAGCTACGGTGATATCGGTCCTCACTGGGTGCAACACACTTGTTGTGGACTTGTGGTGTACTCAAGTAAGCTGGGTTTTACTTTAAAAAAAAAAAAAAAAAGTACGGGAAAAATTTACGTTTACTTACATACACATGTATTTTCGTGAAACCTATGCACAGAAATCTACATGCTTTTTTTTTGTATTACACAACAATGGAGAACGGAATAATATTTCCTAAGTGAACGGAGTAGAGTACCATGCTGTAGTCAGTAGTAATATATATATGTAATTGTAAACAAAATGTGTTTTCTGAACGTAAGCAGCGACTGAGTGTGTGTGAGATTTTTTTTTCTCTCTCTCTCTAGCTATTTTATTTATTTATTTATTTTATGGGCGCCTCTCGTTTCGTCTGTGCCAGTTTAGTCCGCCTTTCTGTCTGTCTGTCTGTCTAGCCCCTCCTCTTCTTTCCCCTCCCAATGTGAGCCACCAACTCGTGCCCCCAACTCTTACACCGCCATCCCACAACATTTATCGCTCCCCCGCCTTCCCTTCTCTCTCTCTCTCTCTCTACTTCGTTCTTTCTTTCCATCACATTCTTTTTTAGCCGAGAGGAGGAGGAGGAAGACATTTACAGAGGATGAGGAACGGCTTGCTGCTAAATAAAAAAAACAAACGGTCTTTTTCTGTGTGGAGTTGAATAATTATACTATATATATATATATATATATATATATATATATATATATATATGTGTGTGTGTGTGTGTATTAGGTTCATTTTCTGTTTGTCTCCTACTTTCTTTTAATTCTACCTCTCAAAGCACTACGCAATAAGTCTATCTGTCTTTATTTAGAAAGAAGAGACAGTGAAAGTAAAACAAGCCTAAAATTACTGTCTTAAAAACTGCGAAAATATCTCTCTAATATCTTTCCTGTCAAATTAGTACTCTTTCCTCTTTTTTTAAAACGTCTTTCTCCCTTATTGACTCGCCCTACTTTCCTCCCTCTAGTTTTCTTTCCCTTCATCATAGTTCTCTCATCTCTCTCTCTAAAAGGCGTAGTCTATCTATTCCCTTCCCTTCTCTCTAAAAGTTATATCCTGTTTTTCTTTTTGTTTCTTTTTCGTTCTCCTCTCTAAAAACCTCCTCCCTCCCTCCTTTTCAAGTCTTACGTGCCCTTCACCAACAACCAACACCTTCTGTCTATTTTCATACTCCCACCGCCACTCTCTCTTGCTTGGTAACAGACAATGCCAGGCGAAGTAGGAGGACTAGGAGGAGGTAGACGCAAAAAGGAGTAGCGGTCGTAGTAGAGAAAATGTGAGGTGGTAGCAAAGACAGACCAAGTGAGGCAAGTCTAACAGACATCCAACCGCTTCAGACAGATAGATATGAATTAGTGTGTATGGAAGGATGGATGTGTGTGTGTGTGCTGTCCCTAACTGACAACAACAGAAAAGACAGTATATACCACGCTTAAAAGGGGAAAAAAAAAAACAAAGAAGACTGATACCAGAAAACCAACGCGAATAATTTTGCTTACGAACCAACCAGCCAAGCATAAAAAGGCCAGGATCAGTGTTTTCTTTTTTAACCCGATTTTTTTTTTGTTTAATTACGACAGCGACAACAACAACAACACACTTCCTAATGTTCTATACGTAATGAAAAGACGTGGGTCTCAAGTTTACAACATATATACCCAGACAGACGGAAAAAGAGACTGGATTTCATTTATTAATTCTTTTTAATAAGCCTATCTGTCTGCGATTTTAACAAGGATAGAAAAAAAAATGTGGGTGGAATATTTAAGAGAAAAAAGGAAAAAACACCACCAAGGACATTACCAGGTGATCTAAATAAAAAAAAACAAAAAAAACCAAAACATATCCATAAAAAAAACAAAAAGAAAAAACGAAAACATTACTAATTAAACTAAGGAAATACAAAAAGAAAAAAAAAACAGCACAAGACTGGTTTTAATTTAATTAAAAGTAAAACAAGGAATGTAGTTTATATTTTTCTCTAATCTGCGGATGTGCAAATAATTCCACCGACTGCAACAATTTCAGTCATACAATATACAGAAAATACAATCTGTATATATATATATATATATATATATATATATATTACATATGTATATATATAAACCTGAACAAATCTCTGGATTTTAAATGCACATTTGCTTTGAAAGCATTGACGATTGAATACCAGACCATCTTTACAGAGTACAGACCTTTTATCACCCCCAGAACGAAAATTCGCTTAGATGGACTATAATAACCCATCAAAACGAGTGAACAGACACATTCAGAAGGTACTCAAAAACTATCAAAGTACAGCAGTACGAAGTTTATGTGGTCCTGATTCAATTGTAGGTTCACCGACGGATTATTTCTACTATTGTTACCCAAGCCTGGCTGGTCCTGTATCCGTATCTAGTCAGATCCCAGGGGTAAGTGGTAGTAATCTACTGTTGTCTCCACCGACAAAACTCCTTCCCAGCCCTTCGGCTGCCGGTAGCAGTAGTCGGAAGAGCATCACTCCGAACAGTCACAACACTACCTTCGGGGCGGGTACCGGGAGTACCCCAAATAGTCGAGCAGGGTCAGTTTCTCCGACAAGTACGACGGCCGGTGGTGTTGCTAACACCGCCGGACCGACATCTCCAAAAGACAAGTCCACAACGGCGTGCCCGTCGTCTTCATCTTCCTCTGCTGCGGTTGTGTCATCGAGGGGCCGACCTTCGTCGGGTCCCTCATCCGGCCACGACGACGACGAAGAGGTGCTTGTGTATGACCCACACCTTAGCAGCAGTGGAAGTAGTGGCACTAGGCGGGGTGCTATGAGTAGTTCTACTACTTCTACGACTGGTGTCGTCGTTAACCCTGTCACCAGCAAGTTACCCTCGGAGAAGGGCCTGGAATTCGACCCATTTCGATCGCCACCCCCGTATCCGATACAACAGATGCCTGTGTTCACCCCGTACGACTCATACGCCGAACGATCCGAAACCCTCTTGGAAAATGAGAGGATTGCATGCTTTATTATCGGCGGCGAGAAGCGATTGTGTCTACCCCAGATACTCAATTCGGTCCTTAGACACTTCAACCTCACCCAGATCAATTCTGTGTGTGATGAACTGCATATCTTTTGTGCCCGGTGCAGCCCTGAACAATTGGAGGTTTTTGTCGCGGCTGGGATCTTACCTTGTAGGACTGCTAGTTGCGGACTTATCACAAAAACAGATGCTGAAAGGCTTTGTCATGCTCTACTTTACAAACGGTCAGGCAACAAACCGGTCGATCCTCCCTCACACACCAGCTTCAAGGTAAATAAAACATTTTTTGTTGTTGTTGTTTTTCAATAAAGAAAACAAAGTTACCGCGGATTATTATTATTATTATTATTATTAATAATCACGCACTGTGTCCAATCAGTTTCATCAATGACAACTCGTCCGTAGTTTTGGGGGTTGCTAAGTGTTTATTGTAGATCTTCTACTTTTTGGTGAGGAGCTGTCATAGTTGACAAACTTTTTTTGGCATGCGAAACTGAAATTTACATAATTTAAATTAAGTCTAAAAATAAGGGTACTTACGGGGAAACGGTCCCTGTTTTTATTACTTATCTTGATCACGTGACCAAACAAGAAACATCATTTAACTCTGAGTTGTGGCCATGCGACAATATTTGGTTTATTTATTATTTTGAAATAGACATTATTTTTCTTTTTTTTTTGTTTAAAAAAACAACAAAACTTTGTGTATAGTTTTTCTAAATTCTTTTCAAAAACACTAGTCATATTTGAAATATATTCCGATCACGAATGTATACCTTTTTTTTATTTATTTGTTTTTAAAAATTAAATATTTTACTTAGGGTTTAAAAACTAAATATTTTTGTCTTTTTAAACAGCCTCTTTAAAGTTTGTTTATAGGTGGATGTTGGTAGAATAATATGTCAGATTAACTGTGTATGACGATTAATTCATTTGAAATTATTTTGAGTTTTATTTATAGCAACAAGCTTTCAATCGAGCTTTGCAACTTAATAAATCTTTTAAACTAATAAAATAAATAACTTTTATAAATAAATAAAAAAAACTATAATTTTAAAAATAGATCGGTAAAAAAAGTAAATAATTTAAAATAAAATTGCTACTTTTAAGTTTCTAAATTAAAAAATATTTGTAGGTCGATAGTTTGTTTATATCACAATTAAAATCTCCAAAGAAAGAAAAACAAAATTAATTAATTAATCAAATGCTTAGGTTTTGTATTTATTCAAATGTCTTGAAAGATACAACTGAATTTCGAAATTTATCCAAATCTAATGTTGACCTTGTCCTTAGCTAACACGTGTCTACTTTCCACAGTTTAAGTACTTGTCTTTTTACAATATGTTATTAGTCATTTACTTTTTTTTTTAAACTTGGGTGTACAATTCTTTCGATTTAAAAGAAAGAAAGCAAAGGTCATTACATGTGCATCGACTATGAAAACTTGCCAAGCCTAATTCACAAGAAATATCTTAATTTCTTTTTAACAATAAAAATGGAAGCCTCTTCTTGTCAGTAGCAATGAAAATGAACATGCGATTAACCTCAAAGGTTGTTTTATTTATTTTGGTAATTCGAACATCGAAACTATCTTGAAATCAGACTTCATTAAATAACACAAAATAATCTATTTAAATTCTAATTAATACACTTTTTTTAAAACATTTTTTCTTGTACGTATTTAAGACTAACTAGCTTTACATTTCGAAACATCTTTGCTAGGTTTCTTTGTATTAACCAAAAATTAAATAAATCTTTTCTTCATCCATATCTTAAATAAATACAAATATTATAGGCAAAAATATGTATTAATGTTATATTTATATTAATTAGAGTTAATATGTAATTTTGAATGTTCAATTTTTGCATGTTGAGTGTGTCGGCCATGCCGTCTCTTAGTAGTAGTCGTTTTTTAATCAATGGCAGTAGAAGAGTAGTTGGATTTGCCTGTTGATATATTGGGAGTGAAATCTTGGTGGATATTATTCAAGACTTACCGAAATTGAACTACAATTCAACAGATGTCCTCTTAAATAGTTTTCCATATTATCTATTCTAAGAAGAAAACACTTTTCTTTTATCTATTCTAAAAAGAAAACATTGTTTTCCCCTTAGGTTAAGTTACCAACCTGTCTAGCCACTTAAATGAAAGTCTGTCTCGTCTCCACACCATGTTGTACTAAGTATTGAAAACTTACATATGATTGTTTCAATGAAAGGAGGAAAACTAAAACTGATTTGGACTGAAATATATCAGTCTGGTTATTGAAAGAAAAATTTGCATGAGCAACTGCCATCTTAGTTTTAAAAAAAAAAAAAAAACAAAGTTTTTAATGACGGCTGGTTTTTACTTTAAAATCAAACCCTCTCGTTATCTTAATTCAATAAATAGTAAATAATTTTTGCTAAATTTAGTTAAAATAAATTATATTTAAAATTTGTCTTTTTTTTACATTTGTTTTCATTATTGTTTTGTTAATAAACTTTAGTTTAAACAGATTTCCTTTTTTTGTCTATTTTTCTGCAATTAAATTAATTACTTAATTCCTTTTTATTTATTTATTTATTTTTTTCAAAGAAAATTTTACATAACTGGATGAAGAACTAGTTTTACCCCATTTTTTAAAACCAGTTCTGGGTACGTCGAATCCAGAGTGTTGTTGGATATTATCTTTTTATTCTGACTACCTATTCTTTATTAAAAATAGCTGAAATTTAAAAATATTAAAGCTAACTTCATTAAAAACATGTGCACAATTTTAAGGATGATTATCAATTTTTATCATCTCCCTCTTTAAAATAAATCTACTCATTGTATTATTTTTTAATCTCCCTTTCCATTGAAAAAGATGGTCGCCATTTGCAGTTAGACGGGCCCCTTTTATTTTATTTATTTTTTGTCAAAATCCTCACGCTTTTGCTCCTTATTTAGTAGTATATCTAATTTCACGATCTATATTCAGATATCATCATTTTTTTGTTTTTGTTTATTTTTATTTTTCCATATATTTAAAAAAAAAAAAAATCCCTGTCAACTTCTGAACCGGGACTAACTCTCCTGTTTTTAAAGATAAAATAAAAATCATTTGTAAGAGACCCCAAAAATCTTTCCCGTTCTTCATTCACTTCGAAGTTATTTCGTAGAATAAAATTCATAATCCTCTGAAAGGTTTTGTTTTGACATTATTGTTTTTGTATGTATCGTCGTATTTAAAAACTGATCCAAATTTTAAAATTCCCTTTTCCAAAATAATGCAGAAGTTAAACCGGAAAAAATGCCTATTTGCAAATCTTTTTTTAAATTCTCCTCCTGTTGTTAATTCAGCATTGTATCCTATTTACTTATTATTTATATAAATATAGATTGTCATTTAAAAAAAAAAATTCTTCCTTATTTCCCCGATTATATAATTTTTTTTGGTTTTTTTTTAAAAAAAGAATGAAATAATTACTAAGGATGTACACTACAGTACCCAAATTCATTTCAATTTCTTAAATTTCCTGTTTTTATGTAAATATTATTTTTATTTACAAGTCAGAAAGGAATGTACTGCACTAAAACCTAGAAATGTCAAACCTAGTGTGTAGTAAATTATTTAGTGCCGAGGATATCGTAGAGTTTAGCGACCAAAAAAAAAAAAACATTTTTCGCGTACCAAATATTGAATTAGCCTCCCTTAAAAATAAAATATCCTTACCTGCTCTCATATTATTCTGAGATATAAACATTGTAAAAAGAAAACCAATATAGAATCTCAACAAATCAGTGTTGATTTTTTTTCCCCCGAAGAGTTAGAAAATTCTATTGCATTTGAAATGTTTCCACTTTTAGTTTTTATGAAAGGCATAAAAGATCAAAAGTAGATTGACGTTTTTTTTGTTTAAATTTATTATTTCAATTGTAAATTTTAAATTTCGGTTTCGTTTATAGAAAAAAAAATGTGTGTTCAGAATAATAAGAGGCTATATAAAAACAACCTAAAGCAAAATCCCTTATTTGGTAGGTGAAAAAAGTGAAAACTGAAAATTGTTTCGGACGATAAACTCAACAGAACTCTTACTTAATCAGTCTTAAAAAAAAATAATCCGAGGTAATCATTTTTAGTTTATTAAAAATATTAAAAAAAAAAAAAACAATGTTTCACTTCCAGTACTTAAGTGAAATTTAATTTACTGATTATCACTGAAAGAAAAACAAACTTGTCAAACAAAAAAATGTAATGAGAGCTGATGACTGCGTATATTCGTTTGGCATAAGGACATTTTATTTTAGGGTACCCAGGCACCAACATTTATGGCCTCGTACCATGCTATTAAATAACTGAGTCTCTCTAAAAATCAGAATACGGTCAACTTTAGGGTTGCATGACCGCGTATATTGCAGTCGTACACTTAATCTGTGTGTACAGTGTACACACACATACACACATGTATGTATGTATAAGATTTTAATGGGTTAAAAAAAGCAATACTTTCATTTCTATTTTGATCATTAAAAAATAAATAAAATTATTTTTTTTCTTTTAATTTTCTTGTGAAGAGAATCTAATTTAAAAATATAGAATGTCAAAATATTTGATAAATAATTAGTTTAATTAAATATTACAATATTAAAGAGTAAAGACTATTTAAAAAAAAAATGCACATGGCCCGGTTACAGCTCTAGGAAAATCTTAGTAGTGGAATGTGATTGTCTCTCCTTTGTATATTTATTTATCTCTGAGATTGATGTTGGCGCCTTATAGTTGGATAGAGAAAGGAATTTACATAGGTGTGGGTGGGTGTTCTGAAGAGATATGGCTCTTATTATTGATAGTAGATATCACTTATTTGCTTACAGACAGATGAGGCAGCGGGAGGAAGAGTAGATTGCGCCAGTCTTTTCTATAGAAAGTCTGCAACTCTTGAAAATAGAAATTAATTATGGTTTATACTTTATGGACTTGAACACGTACCTCTGGTACGGATAGGAATACCAAACTATTTCAGCCACGAGGTAAACCTAGAATTGTATTGAAAAGTTTCAGAGTTTCTGAATAAAAGGGAATTTTTATGGCATCGTATAGAAGTCTGTTTTCCCTGCAACTCTATTCAGCATGGAATGTGGAGTGGGATATACTGCTTTTAAGTGCGTGTTCGACATTACACTCAGAAATTTCTTATATATATATATATAGTGTGTGTTGACTTTCCCACGCACAAGTATTTGATACCTAAAATGAAAATGTCAGCTTTCTACCGTTTTAAAAATATGAACGGAAGGCGCCTGT